TATGATAGTCTTAGCATCGCATTGTAAATGTAGGTTAACAAAATCATGGTTTTTTGTGATACATTTTTTAGAATTTTATTGGTAATTAGATCATAACCGGGTGCTTTCCCTGAAGGAAGTTTTTTTATTAAATATTCGACTTCGCCTGGAGTTGTATATTTGGCTGGTAAAGCCATTGGTAGTGGACATGTTAAGAAGGATTTTATTTCTTCATTGAAATTATTGTCAGAGTATAAATTAGTATTTGGAATGAATGTTTTTGCCAATTGTTCCGCAAAAATGTTGGCTTTGTCTTGGTCCGTTATAGCTAAGGTGCCATTTTCTTGACGAATTGGTGGAATATTTTCTTTTTTTTTTGTGAGCCTTTTAGTTGCTCTCCAGAGAGAACCATTGTTTTGATTCAAAGAGTTTAGGTATAGTTTATACTGATCTGCTTTGTAGACAGATAGTTTCTTTTTTAAAGCATTTGTTAGTCTATTGAGATACTGTTTGTGGCTTGGTAGTCTAGTATTATGCCATTTAGTTCTGGCTCGCCTTTTTTCAATAATTAATTTTTGAATAGTTAAAGGTAATTTTTCCTGGTAATTAGTTAACTGATAGTTGGGAAAGTATCTTAAGAGAAATTATACATAAAAATTCCTTTAATATTTAAGTTACAATTATGGAATATGGAAGTTTTTTGCAAACTGGCCTAATAGAAATCTCGTACAGTAAATAACGTATTAAGTGTTTACTTCCGTACTTTACATGATATAAACTAACATTAGATACCATAGAAAAATTGTAAAAAAAATCAAAATTTAACAAACATAAAAATGTTGTATAAACGTAACTACTGAATTAAAATAAGAGTTTTTGGTATCACATTTTTTCTTTAAAACTTATATATAAAATAGCTATCTTCAAATCTTAAAAAAACATTTAATTAAAAAATTAATTTTTAATATATTTTTTGTAATTGCGAAAAATACATTAAAACATATTTTAAATATAGTTCTATATTGTAAAAATTGATTAAAAAAAAAAAAAGTATAAAATGTTAGGTAGATCATAAGTTATATTGGTCTATGTTCATTAAAAAATATTTCATTTTAGTGGTATAATTTTTCTGTGTAATTCAGTATACAAACGAATTTTATACCCCTCCTAATTTGGAGATATTTAATTAAAAATAGTTTTATATGACCATTTATTCAGTAGCCTAATTTGTCTAAATTTCTAAAATTAAAGGGTTTTTCCCATATTTGATGATTATAAGTTCAACAAGATTACAATCGAGTTCTCTTAGTGTATTGGTTATTAAAGTTGGTCAAGTGAGAGCTGAGAAAAATGAATTACAGATACAAAAAAAAACTATATAGTAAAATATTTTAATATGAATAAGAAATTCTTTATCACACCCAAAGAAAAACCTCAATCAAAATTGAAAGAGAAATTTTATCAAGGGTTTATGATAATGTTTTATTAATACGAACAAAATAACTATTCTTATAAATAATTATTGTTCAAGACAAGAAAAAAAAATATCATATTGATAAATATATCATTGATTCAATAGTAATGATATATTTATCAAATTGAACAATGAATTTATTATATAGATCGAGGTTTTTCTCTGGGTGCAGGAGGAGACTACAGTGATGGGGTCCTTGATATTCAATAGTAATAATAATAAAGAAATATTCAATCTAAGTGAGATAAAAATCAAACGAACTGTGAATTTTTTTTGACCTCAAGAAAGAATTAAGAAAAAAGCACAAAAATAGTTATTTTTTGGGCGGCGTTCGAACTTCGTATCCCGAGCGTATAAGATTGTATTGTATTCGACACAGGCACTGCGTATTACATGAATTTTTAGCTAAAAAAGAATTATTTAATCTAGTTCAAAAATTCAAAGTGGCTTTTCTTAAGTTTAAGGAGGCAAAATAATCGAAAAAAGTTTAAATTTATATTTAACGTAAGTTATATGCATATAACTCATATAAAAATTGGTGGAGTTATTACTATGGTGAACCCATACAAGGTTTACAAATGCAAATAAACAAAAAAATTAATAAAACTTGAATATGAAAATGTTTTTAACTGCGATAGCAATTTGCATACAGAAGAGAATCGTTTTATATAACATATGTTTAAAGGACGCAGTATTTGTGGAACATTATCAAAACTTATGTTGAAAAAGTTAAATTTTTGTACAAAAGTTGCTATTTTGAATCCCCCTGAGGGCAAGTAAGATTTTGGAAAAATTTTTATCAAATAAAAATGATAACGTAAGGTAATAAAAAATGTTGGTACATTCATTAAAAAAAAAGAAAATTGTTTTGAAATTATTACTGATTTTTACTTTTAATATGTTAAAAATAATCAGTATAAAATGTCATTTTTAACATACTGTTTTGGTTCTTTAAAGTTGATTTTTGCGAAAGTTTAAAGTAAAAAAATGTTGAATTTTTTACCATGACTTTTAGTTCAACTTGCAAGTTTTAATTAACATCATTAAATAGAAAATTTTATGAGAATTAAAAAAATTGGTATTGTTAAGATTAATATACAGTTAGGAAGTTTTATAATTACTATTTTCAGTAAATTTATCAGAAAATCTCAATATTTTTTTTGTATTTTTATTGTAATAAATAACTTAAATAAAATTTATAGTATTCATTTCTAAGTAATGTTCGGTGTTTAAAAAGATTCTACAATTGAAACATTCAGAACTTAATTAATTTTAATGATTTACTTTAACTAAAAAAACCAATCAAAAAGTTTTTAAACGAATCAAATCAATTGAGTATATTAAATATTTTGTTGTAATTTAAAAATCTATTGTTAAATTCAGTAAAATTAAAAATCATTTTTTTTTCATTTTATGTTACTAAAAAAATTGAAATATTATAAACTGGTAGTGGAACACATAAATAGTGTTAAAAAATTAATAAATTACAAAGTAAAATTATTCAATTTTGTAGTTCAAACCTATTATCATATTAAACGTAATTCGACAATAAATACTTTAAAAACATTAGATTATTATTGTCTATATGGAGAATGTGAGTTAAGGAACATTTTAATTGATTAAGTGAGATTTGTTTTTAATTTTTGTGGGTAATATCTTCAATACGAACTGTATGTAAAGTACGTCAAGGGAGAGCTGAGAAAATAAATGATAGCCACATAAAAAATCTTATAGTAAAATAATTTTAATGTGAATAAAAAATTTCTTATCTTATCTTATAATAGTCATTTATTTTTTAAAAAGTGAAAAAAATGTCGAAATTTACCAATTTTAAAAATTGTATTTTTTTGTGGGTATTTTATAATATATGGTGAACGAGGGAAAAATTGTTAATTTTCGAGGATAGTATCTTAAACTAAGTACGATTTGTGATCTTTTGACGTATCGTTGAAAAAATCGGTCCAGGTAGAGCTAAGACAAATAAGTAACAAACACAAAAAACAAAGATATCATAGTAAAATTAATAACATCTTAACTTCTCGTTAAAGCTAAAATATATATAAAAAAAAACCTAATCTTATAAAATTAGCTGGCGGGTGGCTCCACTGGTAGTTTTACCTCAATAGTATTGTTGTTAATAGTATGTCATTGTCAATAAATTTGTTACAATAATTTCTCATTGTACAACAGATGTATTGATTGTAATATTCTTGTAAATAACAAAAAAAATGATGTCATCCCGTCGTAACCTCTGCTTCTTTTACATCCCATTATCACACTTTGTAACTAGGAAAAATTATTTTTATGCTACTTTAACATTAAAAACGTTATTTATTATATAAAATAAAACACAATAAATTTTTTATCTGTCCATTATTTAAAAAAATAAGGATATAAATTAATAACATAATTTCGAACATACGCTTGCAATTTGCGTCAACAAAGCCAGTCTAAAAAATTAAAAATATAAAATTCTTTTCAACTTAAAATATACTGTGTGATTTTTTAAATATAACTAATTATATATCATCGACCTAAAACCCATAGGTCGTATTTCTAAAAGGGAAATTTTTTTTAAAAGTCCCTAAAAACTTAAAAATTTCATAAGAATTAATGTGTTATACATATTTTTATTATAGTTTATGATTGTGAAAATAACAATATGTGTGTTATGATCTTTAATCATAAAAAGTAGATTTTTACTTCAATTAAAATTTCTAAAAAAAAAAAAATGTTACAAACTTTGCTATATAGAAAAAAAACTTACATTATTTTATTGATTCTAAATTTGACCGTAGAAAAAAAATCAAATATTTTTTGTTACAACTTGATAAAATTCCAAGGCTAGACACTACCATGATACAAGTTATGTCAGTTCACTTTACAAAACTTAATTAATTTTTTTTTTCATTAATTTAAGGGTAATTTACGTCGATACTTCATCATCGTCCAAAATATTTTAGTACTTGGGGAAAATCAGCAATATATTTTTGCCCTTTAACAATAATTTTTCTGGGGTCACGTAATAAAAATACTCCTAACAATAAAAAATGAAAAATTGGATAAATTTAGAAAAATGTTCTGAAATTGCTCTTGATTTTTCATATAGTTCACATCAATATTAGTTACTTGATTTAGATGTAACAAAAAAGATAAAGACTTGCGTTTATTCGAATTAATTTAATCAAGAAACTAAACATGTGTGATTTATAAATAAACAAATTATAATATCATAATAGTTCTTAATACATTTTTATAACGTTATCAAAATAAATGTAGGAGTTCATTTTTCAAATAGGTAAAATGTATTTACTGAATATCATATTTGGTATTCAAAGTTTTTGCATTATAATGATTATTCTTTTTACAAAAATAAAAAATGTTAATAATTGTTATTTTACAAATGATACATCCTGTATAGATTTTGCGTATAATATTTAATAATATCTATGCAGATATTATTTATTGTCTTGTATTTTTTATGTACATTTGAGATAATGATTATTTACTCAATGAGTCTTTGAGTAAAATACGAATTTTTTAAATGTATAAAATGTCTACGTATTATTAACATTAGAACTAATGATTTTGATTTTATCTTTCAGACATTTTTCACGTAATTAATTAAATTTTCAATTAAACATTAATAATATATTCTTCTTTATCTATAAAAATAAATATGGTGAGTAGTAATTATACTTTTCTATTTTTAATAAAATAATAACACATATTTTTTTTCATGTTATGTTTTATCTTCATAAAAATAAATTTATTTATTTTTCAGAGATTACTTTTAGTAGCCATCACATTATTCATCGTCATTTTCGTTATACAAGATGGTAATTTTGTCAATACTTTTTTTTAATTTTTAATTCACACATATAAATGTTCTGGGATCTGTAATTTATAGATAGTACACTTAAATTTGTATAAAAATAAACACTATGTTTACTATTTGAAGGATTGTCCCAAAAAAATAACATTTATAGAAATATACAAATTTCTTATTCTTTTAAGTAACATAATCTATTAAATAAAACTAAGTATATTTACAATCTTAAGTTATTATTGTTAAAAGATTATTTAAATATACTCTCGCTACTTATTTAATTGGATTTATATTTGTTATAAATTTTAGTATTTATATAATTTAACACATACCACCAAAGTTTTTTTAGGACATCATGCGGGTGTCCTAAAAAAAATGTGTACGTACTACTACAACTAATTTATTCTAAAAATATGAACACAAACCATCTCCCGTTTTTCAAACCTCACCACATTAACACTAAAAAAATTAAAATTTATAAACAAATTTATAATTTTTTAGCAGTACATTGTAGTGACAGTTTTAAAAGTAAGTCTAATAAATTTATTAAAATCAATGTTTAAACTACTATGATTGTAAAAATCTCTTTTAAGCTGATAAAAAACCCTTGACATTATTTTTATCTGAAATAACTTTTAAATAAAAATTTTTATAAAATTTGGCTAGTCTCTATTAAAACTGGTTAAATTAATTTTATTTCTGTTGCGCACCTTTTTCCTACTCAAAGATTTCATACGTGTGACTAGAATAAGAAACACTGTGTCAAGTTATAGCCATTTAGCGATTTAAAATAACGAATGGTAAATATTGATATAAATGTCATATAACTGCGCGCTATAATATATTTTATGTTATAATAATTGAAATTCAAGTATTTAAACTTGGATTTAACTTCAGAAATGTCTAGAATATAATATTATTTTAAGCTTATAATATTTTTAAAGATTCGGGGGAATGACGACCCCTTACAATATTCCTATACTCGCCAGAATTGTATTCATTAAAATTTAAATAACAATTTTTTTTTATTCATTTTTATTTTTACTTTTATAATACAGAAAGCCCTAGTTTTAAAGGTAAGTCTAATAAATTTATTAAAATCAATGTTTAAACTACTATGATTGTAAAAATCTCTTTTAAGCTGATAAAAAAACTCTTTGTTTTAGTTATATAAAAAAATGAGTTTATGATTCCTTTATTAGAATTTTTAATCTAATGGTATTTTATCTGTTAGATAGGAAAATATAAAATACTTGATGACATACCTAGCTTTTTTTTTTGTTTAATTGTCAACCATACTAACAGTGTCCTACTACTTTCTAAAACGACAAACAAATTAAATCTTGCTTGGTTAACTAGATTAGAATAAGCTCCCTAATAATTATACATATTATTATAAAAAAAGATTTAGGAATGGAAAAATTGCGACTAAGTAGGTTTTTAATATGATTTTGATTTATGTAAATATAAGTAGTATTTAAATATTCTATTTTCAAAATTGTAATGGGCCTTAAAATAATGTTTAAATATTCCATATAGTTTTATAAACTTAATACTTGGTCAAAATGCCATGTAACAAAAAAGTTGGTTCCACAACCCATTTTTAATTATTTAACCAAAACAACTTTGAAATGAAATTACATTTATCTAATCTAAGTCAAATATCAATAATTTGCAATCGTAATCTCGGCGTAACATGTAATTGTTTAAGTTTAAAATATCAGTTTCTAAATTAAAAAGTATTTAACACTCTAATTGAACCATTGTAAAAATGTTTATTAGATTTTAGTTTATTATACAACATTCTATTAATGCGTATTAATTACTTAAATCTATTAAAACAGTAATATCAGTACCAACAAGTTTATCAGATCTAAGTTAAATAGAATAACAACATCATTAAATTAAAATTTTTGTGAATACATTATTAATTTTTGACTTAGACATTTTAGAATTTAAATGATTTTTTTTTTTTGTACTATTTACTGTTAATTAATATCTAATATGAATTCCTATTATACTTTTATTTTGCAGGCATATTAAGTAAGTAAATGTGTTTAAAATAAAAACAAAATAAACACATCTATTCATAATACAAATAACTTAATATTAATTTTTGTGTAAATTTATTAAAATCAATGTTTAAACTACTATGATTGTAAAAATCTCTTTTAAGCTGATAAAAAACCCTTGACATTATTTTTATCTGAAATAACTTTTAAATAAAAATTTTTATAAAATTTGGCTAGTCTCTATTAAAACTGGTTAAATTAATTTTATTTCTGTTGCGCACCTTTTTCCTACTCAAAGATTTCATACGTGTGACTAGAATAAGAAACACTGTGTCAAGTTATAGCCATTTAGCGATTTAAAATAACGAATGGTAAATATTGATATAAATGTCATATAACTGCGCGCTATAATATATTTTATGTTATAATAATTGAAATTCAAGTATTTAAACTTGGATTTAACTTCAGAAATTTCTAGAATATGATATTATTTTAAGTTTATAATATTTTTAAAGATTCGGGGGAATGACGACCCCTAACAATATTCCTATACTCGCCAGAATTGTATTCATTAAAATTTAAATAACAATTTTTTTTTATTCATTTTTATTTTTACTTTTATAATACAGAAAGCCCTAGTTTTAAAGGTAAGTCTAATAAATTTATTAAAATCAATGTTTAAACTACTATGATTGTAAAAATCTCTTTTAAGCTGATAAAAAACCCTTGACATTATTTTTATCTGAAATAACTTTTAAATAAAAATTTTTATAAAATTTGGCTAGTCTCTATTAAAACTGGTTAAATTAATTTTATTTCTGTTGCGCACCTTTTTCCTACTCAAAGATTTCATACGTGTGACTAGAATAAGAAACACTGTGTCAAGTTATAGCCATTTAGCGATTTAAAATAACGAATGGTAAATATTGATATAAATGTCATATAACTGCGCGCTATAATATATTTTATGTTATAATAATTGAAATTCAAGTATTTAAACTTGGATTTAACTTCAGAAATTTCTAGAATATGATATTATTTTAAGTTTATAATATTTTTAAAGATTCGGGGGAATGACGACCCCTAACAATATTCCTATACTCGCCAGAATTGTATTCATTAAAATTTAAATAACAATTTTTTTTTATTCATTTTTATTTTTACTTTTATAATACAGAAAGCCCTAGTTTTAAAGGTAAGTCTAATAAATTTATTAAAATCAATGTTTAAACTACTATGATTGTAAAAATCTCTTTTAAGCTGATAAAAAAACTCTTTGTTTTAGTTATATAAAAAAATGAGTTTATGATTCCTTTATTAGAATTTTTAATCTAATGGTATTTTATCTGTTAGATAGGAAAATATAAAATACTTGATGACATACCTAGCTTTTTTTTTTGTTTAATTGTCAACCATACTAACAGTGTCCTACTACTTTCTAAAACGACAAACAAATTAAATCTTGCTTGGTTAACTAGATTAGAATAAGCTCCCTAATAATTATACATATTATTATAAAAAAAGATTTAGGAATGGAAAAATTGCGACTAAGTAGGTTTTTAATATGATTTTGATTTATGTAAATATAAGTAGTATTTAAATATTCTATTTTCAAAATTGTAATGGGCCTTAAAATAATGTTTAAATATTCCATATAGTTTTATAAACTTAATACTTGGTCAAAATGCCATGTAACAAAAAAGTTGGTTCCACAACCCATTTTTAATTATTTAACCAAAACAACTTTGAAATGAAATTACATTTATCTAATCTAAGTCAAATATCAATAATTTGCAATCGTAATCTCGGCGTAACATGTAATTGTTTAAGTTTAAAATATCAGTTTCTAAATTAAAAAGTATTTAACACTCTAATTGAACCATTGTAAAAATGTTTATTAGATTTTAGTTTATTATACAACATTCTATTAATGCGTATTAATTACTTAAATCTATTAAAACAGTAATATCAGTACCAACAAGTTTATCAGATCTAAGTTAAATAGAATAACAACATCATTAAATTAAAATTTTTGTGAATACATTATTAATTTTTGACTTAGACATTTTAGAATTTAAATGATTTTTTTTTTTTGTACTATTTACTGTTAATTAATATCTAATATGAATTCCTATTATACTTTTATTTTGCAGGCATATTAAGTAAGTAAATGTGTTTAAAATAAAAACAAAATAAACACATCTATTCATAATACAAATAACATAATATTAATTTTTGTGTAAATTTTGTTTATAATTCTTTTTTTTTTTATTATTATTATAACGGATTAGTTGATAAATTCATTTTATTAACTTATTTTTTAATAATTTACTATTGCTCTATACGAACTATAACATTTTTTATGATTTTGTGTTTGTTTATTACTAATGTTTGTTTTATTTTATTGTAAGTTTAAATACAATTAATCGTAAATTTTGTGTTTCCAATGAAATTATTTTTATCTGAAATAACTTTTAAATAAAAATTTTTATAAAATTTGGCTAGTCTATATTAAAACTGGTTAAATTAATTTTATTTCTGTTGCGCACCTTTTTCCTACTCAAAGATTTCATACGTGTGACTAGAATAAGAAACACTGTGTCAAGTTATAGCCATTTAGCGATTTAAAATAACGAATGGTAAATATTGATATAAATGTCATATAACTGCGCGCTATAATATATTTTATGTTATAATAATTGAAATTCAAGTATTTAAACTTGGATTTAACTTCAGAAATTTCTAGAATATGATATTATTTTAAGTTTATAATATTTTTAAAGATTCGGGGGAATGACGACCCCTAACAATATTCCTATACTCGCCAGAATTGTATTCATTAAAATTTAAATAACAATTTTTTTTTATTCATTTTTATTTTTACTTTTATAATACAGAAAGCCCTAGTTTTAAAGGTAAGTCTAGTAAATTTATTAAAATCAATGTTTAAACTACTATGATTGTAAAAATCTCTTTTAAGCTGATAAAAAACCCTTGACATTATTTTTATCTGAAATAACTTTTAAATAAAAATTTTTATAAAATTTGGCTAGTCTATATTAAAACTGGTTAAATTAATTTTATTTCTGTTGCGCACCTTTTTCCTACTCAAAGATTTCATACGTGTGACTAGAATAAGAAACACTGTGTCAAGTTATAGCCATTTAGCGATTTAAAATAACGAATGGTAAATATTGATATAAATGTCATATAACTGCGCGCTATAATATATTTTATGTTATAATAATTGAAATTTAAGTATTTAAATTTTGATTTAACTAAAGAACTTTCGAGAATATGACAACTATACTTTTAAAAATTCGATAGAGATACAGTATTCCCATACTCGCCAGACTTGTATTCGTCAAAATTAAAATAATAATTTTTTTTACCCATTTTGTATTTTTGATTTTATAATACAGAAAGTTTTGGTTCGGGACGTAAGTATTAAATTTTGAAAATCCCATATTATAAATATTTTAACAAATTTATCTACTAATATTATAGATACTAGCCACAATTTTTTTTAAATCCTAAATATTTCTTTTAATAAAACACAATTTTCACTTTATTCACAAATTAATATATTAACATACTAAAAGAATAGAAAATAGGTGAATAATCTCACCCACATTAACATAGCCAAAAATAGAAAAAAAATGTTGAAGCTAATAATATATTTTTTTACTTTCCTCCACCATAGATATATTTTTTATATATAATTCATATTGTTTTCTAAATTTTGGGAAACTAAGCCCCATCAAGCCCTCACCCGTTTCCGTCGGATAAACGTCAATATTGATTTTCCTCAAATGTTCGTTGATGGTTGGGAATACATTCAAAATATTGAAGTTAAATTTATTTTTTTTATTGATTCACTAATATTTTCTATCATAAATAGGAAGCAAAGAGGAAAGTGAGTATATTTTGAATATTCAAATTTACAAATATTTTAACAGCATTAAATACTAATATTATGTTCCTAGTGTCAATTTCTTTTAAATATTAAATATTTCATTTTACATATCACAATTTTCAATTATTTAAAAATTAATAATATCGGAAACATTCATAAGCATAAATTTACCTTTTTCAATACAACATAAAGACAATTATTACTGAAAGTTATATACCATGAAAACTATTAAATCTTTCCCTAGATTGAAGCTTAATTTAGACATGTAATCTCTTATAAGTTTATAACGATTTTGATTAAAATTTGAGTCCAACATTTTTTAGATAAAAAATTACACTTATTTTGTTGTTTTGGTAGTCGTTACTACTAATATACAAACAATCAATTTTTGTCATTTTCTTATCGATGAAGTTTTATCTACTGATAATATTCAATTGTATTTTGCTATATAGTTTAAATAACTTTTAGGAGTAAATTATAAAAATTGAGAAATCGATTCAACAAAATTTTTTTTTCGATTTGTTACATAAATATTATTTTTTAAATAATTTTAGCATTGTTTAACGATTTGCGTTTTTATTTTTATTAAGAAAATCTAATTTAAACAGTGGAAAAAAATTTCAAATATAAAATAAATAATAATTAATTGATCCTAATATGCATAGTTTGTGGCGGTAAGAATGAATTACGGGTACAACATAATAAAAACAAACGAATAAAAATAAAAAATATCTTGATATACATATAGATCAAATATTTTCAGAAATAAGTCTAAGTATATGTAGTATTATTAAATACGATAAAGTTAAGATTTAAAAAACACAATATAATTTAAAGATCTTATATGACAAATTTTTACAGAAATTTAAAAATTTTTGACTTCAAAATCAATCAACTCATAGAAAAACTAACGTTGGGACGTTTTTCTTTTCTCATCATAAAGTACTCTATATAGCGAAATTTAATGTTAGTACTTAAGTTTTATTTGGTCCCGGAAAAATTTCAGTGTTTAAAAATAAATAATTTATTATTATATATAATAATAAAACATATCTTTTCAGTCTAGCAATAGTTTATTATCGCATACTTAACATAATTTGGAAGTGATATTATAAATTTTGATTTAATAAGCTGAACACGTTTACGTCAATATATATTTTGAATTTTATATATTGAAATCAATATTACAATTTAATTCTTCTAAAATAGTATAGAGAATGTACATGGAATTCTTACATTTAATTGACACCTATCAAAGCATCCATTTCTTTTGGAGTTTAAAATTTATAATATTTTAAAAACTTCTTTTTTTGAGAGGCGAAGATGGATTGGTTTCAAATGGGTTGAATAGTGTATTGGGCCGTAATATAGCTTTTTGAAAATAATTTTGTACAACTGATATACAGGTCGCCCACCACTCACTGACAACTTAAATAACTTTTGATCCAGTTAATATTTTTAGTTGATTTTTTTTTAAATAATAGTTATACGTTAGGTCTATAACTATATCTCAATAATTAATTTGTTTACATTTTATTAAAAATATTAATTATTTTTAAATTTTAAATAAAATGTAAAAAAACGGTAGCACAGTGGGGTCGCGGCATATTGGAGACATTACATAGTTAGTTCCAGTATAGATTTAATCTGAAAGTGATTAAAATCACTATCATAAGAAACGCTTCAATGCAAATCTGTAGATAGTGTTTAATTTTAAAAAATTGATGGATAATTGCAAAAGCAACATCAACTTCTATTAAAATAAAATACAAAACCCATAATTATCATACAAAAATAGTATATTTTTCAATATGGTAGCCATTTGCGTATAGAAGATAGATCGTCGGGACAAATTTTTTTTTT